TTTCCCACGGAGGACGAGAAATTTGAACCGCAATTTGAAGCGCGCGCACAAAGGTTTAGTATTGATGTATATCTACTTGCTGCGAATAAACCTGGTTGTCAACTGATTTCTGTCTATGAATGACAGTGCGATAAGTTAATGCGCATGGCTGGACACGCAGTCTGTCAAAGGCATTCTGAGAACAGGGCACATCTTGGGTTTTTATGTTTCAGCACAGGCAATAAACGGTCAACCCTAGGGGTCTGGAGCTCGAACACCGACCTCATCAAACGGCTCACTAACTCTCACCTCTGATATCGAGTCGGTAGCCCTTTGTACAATTTCATCCTTCGTATTTACCTTATTCGCCTGAATGTCCCTATTTGACGGTGCTGAAAAATAAACAACAATAGTCAACGTCGACTCTGAGCGAGGGTCTTCTGTTTATCGATGTTGCACCTTTGTGAGTTTTCATTGATACAGCTCGTCTACTTTGACCACTTTTACCCAATAGCGGCCTTCGATTCGCATGTCCCTATTATATTCTTGCCGAACAAACTTGTGAATCTTTCTCAGGACAGTTTGCACATACTAACATAGGGTCCTTTTTGTAGATTATTCGCAACTTGCCCCACTTAAGGTTATTTTTTGCCTGTACGCATTATCCAATTTGCAATTTTAATTGTTGCATTCACTAAAATTCTCATGCACTTATTTAAACTGCATGGATCCAATGGGAAGTGATTAAAATGTCAAAAACATCAGACTGACTCACGCCGGTGTGGAATTTGTCAGCGACCTCGACAGGATGCAGAATGACCCATTAAAATTTACAAAATGTGCCCTACGTTCATCAACACGGATATTCATTTGTGCATCTAAACCTCCATATTCTGGCAAAAAATTCGACTCAAGTCGACCTTGGGAACGATCATAAAGTGCATGCCAGTGATCAGAAGGGGCTACTTCGAAGCTAAAACAATACAAAGATGGTATTGCTCAGGCCTCGACAGCCAAACGAATGGTCTAAAAAGGCAGGTGGAAATTAGATTTGTCCTATGGGGCGTCTATTGAAGGAGAAAGGAGAAGAACAGTTTAAGCAAACTGATTGAGGTGTTCATAGCCCTTTTCCGAATTTACGTTATCCCGGTGGAAACAGAATGCCCTGCCTATCCATTTGCTCCATATGGAAGCCGAATTTTTTCGGTAATTTAATGGATATTACTTTTTGGGTCATGATATCTAACAACTGAAAAAGGTCGGAAATTGTAGTTTTAAGCAAAGGTTCCGCTGGCGCAGTGTTTATTGCAACAATTTCAGTAGGATGAATATGTGAATTCAACAATAAAACGTTATACTTCTTGTGTCTGTATTGAACTTAAACCAAATTAAAATAACCTTATTGCACGAGCAGCTGTTTGATTTATTTACTTCCCGTGACTAATTTTTTTTCTTGTGCTGAGATACTGTTTTTGGGAAGAATGGCACTACCAACGACGAAGCATGTAAACATGAAACTAATTTCGAGTTAAGCAAGGGAAATTGCTAACAGTAAATCCAGCTGCACATTCTGGATGCATTCTTTCAATTGAAACAATTCTTTTTTTTAATGCGTTCGTAGAGCTGAAAATAAAAATTCACCATAGTTGGCCCTAGTCGTCTACCGTTAAAATACTCTGCACATCCATCCATCCACCCACCTATTCATACGGACTAGCATTCCTACCAGAAAACTTTTGAATCTTTCCCCGGAATATTTTATTCATGATAACATAGGGTTCCATTTTCGTGAGTCTGTACCAAAATTGCTATTTTCCTATTTCCGTCCTTTTTTACTGTAGATATTTGTAGATTAGTCGCAACTTTCCCCTCTTAGCGTTGCGTTTTTTTCTGTAAATTGTATCAATTTGTAGTTTTAATTTTCGTTTTCCCTACAATTCTCATTCGCTCATTTAAACCGCACGGATCCGACGAGAGGTTATTCAAATGTCAAAAACATCAGGGTGATTCACGCCGGCGCGGCATTCTTAGGCGTCTTTGACAGGATGCAGAATGACCCATTAAACTTTACACCAGTGTGCCTTACGTTCATCTACACGGATACCCATCTGTTTATCTATACCTCGATACATTCTGACAAACAAAAAACGACACAAATCAACCGAGGGAAAAATCGCCAGTTACACGTCAGTGATCAGGAGGAGCTACTCTTAAGCTATAACAATACAAAGATCGTATGGCTCTGGCCATGGCAGCCGAACGAATGGTCTGAAAAAGCAGTCGGAAGGAAAACTTGCCCTATAGGGCTGCGCCGGCGCAGTGCCTACTGCAACAGTTCTAGTCGGATAAATATGCGAATTCAACAATGAAACATTCTAGTTTAAGTGTCTGTATAGAACATGAACCAAAGTAAAATAAAATTATTTTCTATAATGGATGTTTTACCCGAGGCAGCTTTTATGAGTTACCTATTTCCTGTGACTGATTTTTCTTGTGCTAAGACACTCTTTTTAGGAAGGATGGCAAACCCAGCGACGAAGCATGTAAACATGAAACCAACTTAGAGTTTAGCAATGAAAATGTCTTACACTAAATCCAGCTACACATGCAGGATGCATTTACCCAATTGGAAAGGTTCCTTTTTTGTAATGCGTTCGTAAAGCTGAAAATAAAAGTTCACCATAGTTGGCTCCAGTTGTCTTACGTTAAAATACCGTGCACATCCACCCACCTATTCATGTGTAAAGTTCCCCACAAAAAGGGGCAGTAAGGCGGCGTGTTAATCATTTCTGAGCCTGCTAATTCTGGATTTGGCGTGCGCATGAAAGCGCATTCCGTTGGAGTAAGGCTACTGACGGCAAAACTGCCTATCAATGCTGTCATCACCAAGTTGGGGGGGGGGTTGCTGAATTGGTATGATTCATGAAATGTGTTCTATTTTCGAACCTGAACCATTATAAAGTACATGCGAGACTTCAGCTCTGGTTCCTGTGCGTTTGTGTCGGCCGAAAAACGTTCCCTATCTACATCGCAGTGTCATGGCTAAAAAGAGATACGACTATTCCGGGTCAAAGCCAGTGACTCTACAAAGCTACGCTATGTACCCTTTTACTTCAACATACTGTAGCAATAAAAGTTCTTTATTGGGTGCAAATGTGCTGCGGGTTATGATGACGAATAATCTAGTCTAGTTTTGAGATCACCGGGAACGTGTAAATCTAAAGCTCTGTCTTCACGTACATCCGCGCAGTCTTTATCGAGGGATCATTTTGGTCCTGCTTCTATGACCACAAATTAACATTTATAGGTTGCTGGTGTCCGAACTATGTTTTCTTGCATAATTACAGTCGCAGCAAAACCCTGGGGCTGTCTTAAATGTTCGACTGATATGCTGATTGATGATTCAAACCGAAAACGATTAAGTAAATTGAAGGGTTTGAGGCTGTTAGAGTACTTGTGATTGGCAGTGAAAAAATGTTAAATTTCGTTAGTCTTTTTCAAGTTGAAGTTTAACTGCAAACTTCATATAACTTACACATTGCGGCAACAACTTAACTTCTTCCTACATTATCGGAAGCAGGAAGGTATGGACTTCACTACTTAAAGAGGCATGAAAGCAAGGATTTTAACTAAGTTCAGATATCTTCTGGAAAAATTTGAAAATCACTAGTGAGTTTCCAATTTTATTTACTTTATCTGTTTAAATATTTTAGAAGGACGTTTATATACAAAACTTCGACTTTTTTTAACTGCATTGGTGGTCATACAAATAAGATACATTTTTGCGAAACTATAGAAACTCTGCGAATTTATTTTTTATCGAATGCTCTTTTGCATATTTTGAGTTTAAACATCTCAAGCGTTGTCAAAGAACTTGTATATAAAAAGGCGGAATAACAGCCTGTCATGTATCCGTAGCTTTGATGTAGGGGTGCGGCAATTTAGAAGACAGAAGAATTACACACGCAAAAATGGGATAATTTCAAAGGATTTATTTCACATTTGCAAATCAGTTTCAGAGGAATTAATATACAGCCAATATCTACATATAATGTTCAACTGACGTGCAGAAGGTAATTTTAGCAGGGCGTGAGCATTTGTCACTTGCTGGAGTTCACAGCGTTTTGCTCCAATACAACTATTTACTTGTCAGGAGGACAATATTGCTGGAGTTTCTACCTGAAAAAACAGATTCGGTTAAAGTTCGAACACATCAGAAATTTAAAAAAAACGTTACTGAAATGTTTAATGTCATATGGACGAATATCTTCCATCATTGTGAACCCTAATTAAACGACTGTTTGGGTAAGTATTTGATGATGCAAACTGTAAGTACAGTTATAAATTCGCAAAATCTCCTGCTTTAGGCTCTTGAAGTGCGCTTTTCTTAAGCAAGGGTAATGCACATTAATCTTTAGGATTGTATTCTGCCCCCAAACTGGTGAATGCATTCCCGATCACGTTAAGGATTTCGAAAATCATGTCCGAAGTTATCTGGCCTTCCGAAAGTTACCTATTTACCGCTGATAAAGGATCCGTTGCTGAAGGAGACAACTGGCTGTTGGCACATTTTCCATCTGGTTCCGAAACGTTGGTAGTATTTTCCTTTTTCTCCGGAGAATCCACTATTTCTGGCCTTCTCATGTTTATAGACTTCAACGAGCGTAGCCAGGGGTGGTTCAGTGCCTCGATGACGGTAAGCCGCCCGGATGGAACCCAACATACACACCGCTGAATGAAGTCAAGGAGGTCTGAATCCACACCGCCCAGGGAGTGCTGAAGTAACACCTCCAGAGGAAGACTTCCCGGCAGTCCTCTTGGCATTGTATGCAGAAGGGGGCTTCTGGCGGGATAGGTCTGCAAATACAAGGGAAAAGCGACTTCTTTAAAAGCTCAGCCTGCTCACATCATCAGTTTTGTCCTTTTCAATTTTTTAACAGCTTTCCAGAAAAACTATGGGTAGTTTTTTGGAGCTAACCAATGGGATAGATTTTCCGCGCTGATGGAGGTATTCTGAGAAGGTTTTGTATTTTGGATTCAGTATTACACCGCACGAGGTAGCGTGCTGTGCTTGAATTAGGGACTCTTCGTATGATATGGGCGCAATGCATAATCGAAAAGTATCATAAGTGAAACTGGTTAGCCCAGTTCTGAGGATTGCAGTTCAATTCTGTTCATCAAATTCTTGAAAAATAAGGATTTTTGTAGGACGACGGTCTTGCGGAAACGCTAACTTAACAAAAAGCACTAAACCAAATATACGTTAAAGAAGTTAACCATGACAGACGATTTTACAACGTAAATTATCATCTAGGAAAAAATTCGAGGCATCAAAAGATTAGCAACTTGGTTTTAAGTAGTTTATAGACCTGCGTTACATGTAGTTGATTCGCTGAGAAATGCCGGTGTAGTATAAATCAGTTATAGGAATGGGATTTATCGAAGATAAGGTCAAAGCAACGATGACGAAGAGCTATATATCTCATCTTGTTATTTGCACCTGCGACCCTAAGTATTTAGTCCGCTCGATAGGAAATGCAGAGTTGTATTAATAATGATGTCTAAATTTAACCTGATAATTATTTCAGAAAATATAATAAATAAATGCCACTTAATGTAGACAAGCAGTTTAGCAATAAACTATATATCTCCAAAAATGTAGAAAGTAGCTGTAGGAGATGAAAACCGCCTGATTACTGTGATCGTGTTCTCTTCATCTCCCATTACTTCTCAGTCACCTGTGTAAGATTTCTTTTATCAGTTGTAAAGCATCCCCTAATTTTATCTGAGGTGCTGCTAAAACAATACTTTCAGTTTAAACTGATCGGCGAACTCGTGTTTGAATTCCAGATCCCCTTTGACTTAACCAGAAATGTCAAAACGGATGCCATTCTGCGGCAGAAAGAAAGATTTTCCTAGTTGTTTGGTATGATACATATTCCTTCAAAAAACTTTGTCTTTTGTTATGTAAAGTAAGCAGGTGGTCGTTAAACGGCCATAGTAATTTAGATTTTACTCCTTAACCAAGTAAATGTCTTTGTATAGTAGCGATATCATTCTAATTAACGTGATTTCTAACGCAACTGCAAAAAATATTAACTCATTATATTTACAAGAATATTCTAGCATTATTGATAAACTCCAAACCAAACTTGCTTTTTCTTGCCCAGCCGAATGATGCCGTAGTCGACCAGAATCACAGAAGAATGTTCTTAGGCGTTTAGCCTTACGAAGAAACGAAGGTGGCGGCAAACCAAGAACTTCCACTATGCAGGCCATTTGATCATACTCGTCCGCCCCAGGAAATAGCGGCGTTCCTATAAAAGAATTGCAAGTAATTCGTAAAAATTAATCGGAGTGTCTTTAGCAACTTACATAACAGTTACGTTAAAGGCAATTAGACAAGTTAGGGCACCAGCAAATGATTTGGTCAGACTCAATCCTTTTGGTTTACGATTCATTATTGTTTACTGTCATATGACGTAAGTGTATGATCTATTTATCAAGGAAACATTCCTAAATTAAAATCGTGCTGCCCAAACTTTCATATACACAAAACAAAAACGTGACTTAAAGTTAGTATATATATATATATCGCCACGCATAGCCTAGACACCGGGTATACATTCGCGTGGGACAAAATTCGTATTGTCGCTACCTAACCTTCCAAGAAAGGCTGCGAATTCCTCGAAGTGATGCACTCGGACACATCATGCATCAACAGGCATGTCGAGTTTCACTGTTCGTACAGAAGCCTCAAGCAGAAATTGACGAGACGCGAACCGATCCTAACGGAGAGAGACATACGGCAGCCTACCGGCACAGTGGTGCAGCTTCTCGCTATATCCAGAGTGATCGAGGTGAACAGCGAAACCATATCGAATGAAACCATGCTTTCTTCAAATGAGACTTTAATTTCTTTCAGTTTGTCTGGAAACCATTTGAATTACCAATGGAGTACTCAGAACTCTTTTTAAGTGTATTTAGTTGGTGAGACAGCCAGTTGGAGACTTTGTAGTTGGGTGCACCGATTAAGGATACTATCGGTCGCAGTGGAATGCCGTATTTAAGGACCTTTGAAAGTCCTTATATTTTAGCAAAAGTGGGTTCGTCCTGTTTTAAAGACACCATCATTTTACCTGCCGACAATGGAGATGCTACCACCATTATCAACAAAGTTGACTACATAGATAAGATATCATCACTCTTAAACAACGAATCGACGCACAAACTTCTGCCCAGTGACCCCACGAAATCACAAACTTCGAACATTGATAATACACTGAAACGCTTAACAGGAAAGAAGTTAATCTCAAACTTTCTCGCCAAATCTTTAAAGCAAGATCCCTCTGGATTTAGCGAGACGCTGCACCGAAGAACTACTCCAGATCTACACCACTGATGTACCTGCAGAGGCTTTGCCCCAACTACTAGACCTTTGTCTTGAAACTAACTTCCGCTTCTCAGATCAACACTACCAATAATTAAAAGGAGCCCCATGGGTTTACCACTATTCGGCTTTCTGGCCGAAGCAGTGATGCAGAAAATAGAGTCAATAGCTCTCCCCACATTCAAACAAAAATGCTGACTACGCTATGTAGATGATAAAATTGTCATCAAGAGAAAGACTGATTTAGACTTCATCCAAAAGAAACTCAATTCCACATTCCCAGGAATTGAATTTACATTTGAAACGGAGGTTGACGGACAACTCCCATTCCTATATATCCTTGTACATTGAAATACTGATGAATCACTCCGTACATCAGTTAACCATAAAGGAACGTACTCGGAAGGAATCCTACATTTTGGAAACAATCACACAGTCTCTCACAAAATAAGTTCTATCTACAGCCTCCGCAGTCGACCTAAAACGAACTGCTCTGATGACGAAGGTTACCAGGAAGAAATGAAATATATTTTTCAATTATTCTCCAAAAATGGATATCCACAAAATTTCGTGCTCCAATGCATAAAACGACAAGAATCCAAAGGAAAAGAAAAGGGCCTTTCAACAAGTACGGCCAACGAGTTATTTAAAATACTAACCTGGCGTACTCTCCCATGCATAAAGAATGTATCTGAGCTTGTCGAAAGACAACTAAGGAAACACCAAATACAAGTGGCGCACTAACCCGCAACCACCTTAAGATCACAGCTTGTGCACCCTAGGGCCAGGGTTGGCTATCTTGAAAGAAAAGGGATTGTTTACAAGATCCCGTGTTTCAGTTGTGACGCAGTTTATTGTGGCCAAACTGGGAAATGCGCATCAATCAGCAGTCAGAAGACGAGACCATTTATCCCAGGTGGCCACTGGAAACCGGCCACAAATTCGCATGGGAGAACAAACGGATTGTTTGCACTTATCCAACTAGAAAAGGTCATGAATTCCTGGAGGCCATGCACTCAGACGAGTCATACATCAACAGGCATATAGATTCGAACGTCAGCTATAGTTACCTTAAAGCCAAAATCAACGCGCGCCACCAAACACAGCCGAATGGCGAAAGGCACATAACACCCAATAGCACAGACTGACAATCCTGCCAATCAACACACATCAGAGGAATATTGATTTTTCTGAACGTTTAAAAATGTTCGTTGTTTTGTTACACACTTTCTCATCCCTGAAGATGACGAGGGGATCCTACGTCGAAAATTTACATAATAAAGTTAAAATTTCTTCAAATAACCCTTTATCTTCATAAAAAATGAATACCTGGGTATCGCTGATCTGGTACTGGAAAAAAAGAGTTCCGTTTTTGCCCTAGAGTTCACATTATATCTGATGCAGTCAACCGCATAGCGACAAATGCGATAGAATGAAGTGGTCAGCTCAATTATCAAAGGTCCCGAGTTCGAATGTCGGGAGTTCTGAGACATGAGATTGCGTATGACTGGCCACTGACGGCTGACAAGCCGGACGTTGCCATTCCAGTTCCCCTTTGCTCGGTCAGATCCAATTCATAAACATACTACTAACAGATAATGCTACATCATCGACTGTATAAAAAACAAGATTAAATATATCGGAGACAGTTTGCTTTTCTGAGGACAATTTAAAGTACCGTGGGTCAAGAATTATCTTGATGAAATTTGTAATTTCAAGTTAGCAAATTAACTTTCTGGTAAAGTTCGTTTAGATAGTTTCAAACATACTAATTGTTAAATCCTTTACGCGAGATCGCGCAGCTAACAAGAAAACTGTTATTTACCTGTTAACAGTTCCATTATAATGCAGCCCAAACTCCAAATATCAATTGCCGTGTCATATTCCATTCCAAGAATAACCTCAGGTGCTCTGTAGAATCGTGATTGAATATACGTATATAAGGTGTGTCCAACGCGACAGCTAGATCCAAAATCAATGACTTTGACTAAAGGATATCCTGGACGAACCATTAGAACATTTTCCGGTTTGAGATCGCAGTGAATAATTTGATGACTGAAAACAAATTGAGGATATTAATTGGTATTTAACGAAAGAAAATATCGTGTACAACTAGTTTCTTAAAAATATATACTTTAAAACTTTAAAATGTCAGGTAATAACTCACTTATGCAGAAACTTCAGAGAATTTAAAATGCATGCAGACATTTTTTTCACTGTCATACACGGCAGACCCTTAAAATTATTTCGACTCATTATTTGATACAAATTGACACACAGAAGCTCGAAAACTATGCATGTATTCCCGTTCCATGAAAAGCTTTCATAAAACTCGACAATATTTTCATCGCCATTTGGGCCCTCCAATTCAAGCAATTCAAACACATGAAGTTCTTGTCTTATGATTTGCTCAAATTTAGGGCATTTTTTCATACATTTTATTGCACACTGTATTCCCGTTTTCTGATTAAGTGCTCTGAATACTCTTCCAAAACTTCCACTTCCAATTTCTTCTAGTAACAGGTAATTTTCCTTTATAATATCGCCGGCCTTAATTTCTTTCCAAGCTGTTTCTGTTGGACATTCCACGAAGGGTTCCTGCAATATTTTGATGCTGTGAGAATCGTTGTTCCAATCAGGAGAGTGGGTGTTTGAGGTATATTTTTCCCAATACCCATTGGCAATTCCCCACTGAACTGGCTTGACGTTTCTCGGCTCCGAATATCGTGAAGAAAAATGGGTTAATCCGTTGTGTCCGTTGAATTCCTTGGATAATGAAATGTCAGAAGACTTTCGCCGCGTCGAACATGTAAACTGAGAATTCCTTAAGCTGGATATTTTACTAGCAACGGAATTATTGTATTGTTTCTCCACATCGTTTGATCTATATATATAATTCGATCGGCGTGGTTGTTGGGAAAACGAGACTGGGGCGTCAAATTCAGGAGAGTATGATGCGTTTTCTGCCTGCTTTGAATAATATTTCTTTGATTCGTTTAGTCCACGATAATCAATG